CATTAAATTCCAGTGAAATATATTTATGTTTGTGGTTGTAATGTGACAAAATATGGAAAAGTTCAAGGGGTATGAATACTTTTGCAAACCACTGTAACTGTCTCCTGCTCATTAACACCTTCAATTTTGGTGGAGTTTGGTGTATTTACAGAAAATACACATAAATATCTTCAAACGTCAGAAAAAAGAGAGCTAAAAAGTCCCCAGACTTAAAAGAAACCACACTGATGATGGAATGTGAGAAACTGGTAATGATTCAAACAGCTTCAATATTGGTTTGGTTGGACACAAACTCCAGGAACAAAAGGTTTTTACAGCAACATTTAGCAAGATGAATCAAAAGATTATTCTCTGAGCAAAAATATTATCCTTTTCCATTAAGTCTGAGCAAATTTTGTGGCTCATAAATGCCTTTAAAAAACATTTTACACTTCAGCTACAAAGACTCATATACAAACCGTGCCCCACTCCTGTAAAAAAATGCTGAATGTTTATTGACTCGAGTCAAATTGAAAAGACTTGAATGATGTTTTCTAATAAAATGGGTATAAAATGGGATTTCCCTTCTTCTCCCGTCAGCTGCTGTGTGCTTTGTTTACCTCGAGGCTGCCTCTTTTAGAAGGGTTCAGGATCAGGAACTTTTTCAGCAAGTTCTCACAGTCCGTGGACATGTAGAAAGGAATCCTGTATTTACCACGCAGCACGCGCTCTCGCAATTCCTGCAGAACGAGAACAGAGAAAATCAACGATTTATGCTTCTTTTCAACAAAATAAACTCACTGCTGATCACCTGTATTCTGCAGCTTTAGACATTAAAACACAAACTGTGGCTACATCCTGAATAAAGTACATCACAAAAAACAGGTGATCCATTTATTAAATTAAAATGATTGTTTTCTGTTAAAAAGATTACTACTTTAAAACACTGGTTCCAGTTAAAAACAGCTTCAACCACTTTTATAATTAAATCTCATGTTTCATATGATAATCTAAGCAACATTACCTGTGAAATATTCTATACTTTACTCATCCCACCTGTAACGTTATATTTTAACAGATCGTTTACCATATTTCTTTTGTACTTTGTAAATATTTGTGAGATTGCAATCAAGCAGTCAAACTATTGCGATAAGTTTTCTTCTCTACGTTTTTCAGCTCACGTCTTTTTCTGCAATTTTTGTGTTATTTCAACAATTTACGTATCAAAACCTTTGGCTCCTTCAGGACATTTCGGCTACGACTTTTAGTATTTCAACAATTTAACCTTTTTGAGATATTTAGCTTTTTTCTGCCATTTTTGTTAAAAATTAATGGAGCTGTCTTCAACATCCTTAAATCCCTTAAAAATAACACTTTCTGCACTTTAAACCTTTTTTTTACTTTTGTGTGCCAACTTTAGCTTTTTTTGTTGCTAATATTAGCTTTTTTCTGCTTTTTCAGCCATCTTTCTGCTCATTTCATCTATTCTGGTAATATTTTTGTGATTCTATTAGCTTCTGCTAATTTAAGATTTTATGTTTCTTTCAGTTGTTTTCTGAAGTTTGATTGATAGATTGATTAATAGATGCTTCATTAATCCCTGAGGGAAATTCAAGGGTTCCAGCAACTGTACATTTACAGACAATAAAAATGTAGAATATACATAAAAACAAAATAAACATACCTATATTGTATTTATGTAGAAAGAGAAACTGCTATAAATTGTCCAGAATCATATGATTTTTTTTTTTACTGTACTGATATGAGTTAAACAGTCTAATTGCCTGAGGGACAAAAGACTTCCTGAATCTGTCCGTGGAGCAGGTTTTTCTGCTTCTTTGTGCTAGATTGAGCTTTTTCAGCTACTTTTCTGCTATATACAGCTTTCTGGGCTATTTTACAACATCTTTTCTTTATTTTTTGCAAAGACTTTTCATCATTAAGCTTTCATGTCACATTTTCTCAGAACATGCAAACTATCTAGTATATGTAAATTTTTATTTTGAACGTCTGTTGCATGCTATTAGTACTTATAGAACTGCAAAAACTGCCCATCTAACCAAATCTTACAACGCTATATCCATCCAAAAAGTATTTCTGATCTTGTTTTGAGACTGATATACTGAGCAGAATGTGTTTGATTATCAATATTGTTAGCCTGGAAATTACTTCACTTAATTTGAGAAGATTCAGACTATAATCTAATGCTTTTTAACATTTTACAAGGTTCTTCTCATCCTCAGCATTTCATTGCATTGTTGACTTTGTGTTAACCTGCAAATAAACCAGTGCAGTTCAAATCCAAGCCATTGGTGCATCCCTGATAGCAGCTAAACAAGCCAGGACTATGTCTCAAAGTTTTTCTGACATTGTTCACATCGAGTTTAATGTCACATTGTGCACTAAAATCAGTCAAGAACTTAGTTTTTAATTTCAGTAGGCCAAAAGGAACAGAAACCGGCACGATAAATACTACAACCGCCCACAGAGCGCAGACATCAGATTATGTAACCCACAAGAACAGACTCAAAAACAAGCTCTCTCCTCTTCCCAACCTTGAGGTTTTGTCCATCAAAGGGCAGCGAGCCGCTGACCAGCGTGTAGAGGATCACCCCCAGGCTCCACACGTCCACTTCAGGTCCGTCGTACTTCTTGCCCTGAAAGAGCTCAGGGGCGGCGTAGGGCGGCGAGCCACAGAAAGTGTCCAGCTTGTTCCCCAGAGTAAACTCGTTACTGAAGCCAAAATCAGCTATCTTGATGTTCATGTCTGCATCTAGCAGCAGGTTTTCAGCCTGACGTGAGACAGAGGTGAAACAATCAGACAGCTGGAGTTAAAACTATAAAAACAAACACACTGTGTGACACATCACATCAGGTCAGGAATTAATTTGGTCAAACTAATCGAAGCACATTTACAGAATTAAGCTACATTTCAATACCTCCAGCAGCCTGATAGAAGAGCTTCAGAGACGTGGCTTCATTTACTAATCAGGAAGTCTCCTGCAAAATCCATCTAAATGCTACTTTTTGCTTATTTTAATGAGGATTTCTTGAGGTAATTGGAAAGAAGAAACCTCAAACCGTATTTGGATAGTGGGATTTCCCAGCTGGTATTGACTGAAACTAGCTTCACTAGCAGGCAGGGAAAGTGGGCTAAGGATTATATTTTTGGACACTTCCTTCAAGGGAAACGTAGAAAAAGTATTTATCACATTTTGAAATAAATAAATAAACACTCTACTTAGTTAAAGACTGTTTGTTGTTGAACACTCTTTAGGGGAAAAAAAACTCTGTTGGATCAAAAGAGCACTTTGAGAGTAATAGTGTGGGGCTGGCAGGCAGCACACAATGGGAAAGTGAGCTGCCAGAGCTTATACCTTTGTGTGTGACTGTGTGTGTTTGTGTGTGATTGTGTGTGTTCTTTAAGCATAAAGTGAGCCACCAAGTGGGGAGGCTGGGGTTGCCTAGCAACAAGTGTGCTCTCCTTTCAACTTGCTCTGAATGCTCTGCAGCTCCTGTGAGTTTCTGGGTGAATAAGCACAGTAAATACCAAAAAAACGGACATCGTCTCTAACCCCTGAGCTGAAGAGAACAAATGAAGGTTTTATCACTAAGGTTTTTATTGATAATTTAAAAAGAGATTTTAGTTTGTTTTTTTTAAGTGTTACAATATGCAGATTTTGGTTTGTTTGGTTTATTTTAAGACGTGCTAACTATTTACAGACAATCATTTTAAGCAAAGAAGAGAGAAACAAAAAATAAAGAAAACCCTAAAACGGATAAGTATTAAATTATAATTAGCACAAACACTAATAGAATAGACATAATTACAATATGCAGATTGTCATATTTTTAAATATCTTTATATTATATGAAAATAATTTCCTTATACTTTGTTTTAAAGAATTTTAATTTGAACATTGCTTCAACTCTTGCACTCCACACAGAAACTTTTTATTTAAAAAAAAATAATTATTTTTCTTGACTTTAATAAAGTCAGAATATTTTTAGCCTTAAATATGAGCTGATTAAAACGCACTGAATAGGATCAACCAGGGTTCCTACACACATTTCATACTTCTACGAACTCAATTTTTTTAATTTCGAGTCATTTTTAAGACCCAATCATTTGTAAATATACCCTATAACTTTTTATTTTTTAATATATAGCCACTGTAAAATAAAGAAATAACCTGCTAATTTCAACAACTTTTAATTTAATCAAATTCACTCGCCTGAAAACACTAAAATTTATTACTACTTAGTTTTATCTACACCTAAAACACATTGATATATATATTTTTATACTGCCTAACATTTGCCCCTTAAATTCTGAGTGATTCAGACAAAGTTCAGGATTATAATAATGAGAACTATACATCTAGCAGAAACCTTTAATTTCCCACGTTGTCTTTTTTTTAATTAACCATTTCGACTTGAAAACCTTAACAAAAAAAAAAACTTCACGACCTTCTGTGTCAAAACTTAAAACTCCAATAAAAATAAAAAGTGTCCGCTCCAGCGGGTTCCTGTGAGGTGACTGCAGCAGTAATCATGATAATGTCTACACGTCTGCCTTCTGGCCCAATAAGAGGATTTATAACCCTGAAAAACACAATGAGCCACAGTGACCTGGAAGGCTGGATCAGAGAGCAGAAGCTGGAGTGAGTTCTGGAGCTAAACTGAGAATTAAAGAGAAATAACCCAAACAAAGGGACTAAAAGAGAACAAACAGAGGGGAATAGCATACACACATGTGTGTGTGTAACACTAAAATGAGGTCATTAGCTCATCTCTGTGATTGACCTTTGGGTCACCTGTTTTTGGGGGCAGTATTTAATCTAAAAAATGAAATCGTATGAAGATTAATAGGCTGAGACGGAGAGCGCGAGCTTCCTTTCACACACAATCACGTGTGTTTGTTTCATGTGTGCGTGCTCACCTTGAGGTCTCTGTGTACTATACATTTCTGATGGCAATACTGCACCGCTGACACAATCTGGAGAGCGAGAAACAAAAAAACAACATGACGATGAGACAGATCATTAGACAATTAGGTAAAAGACAATGTGTTCGCTTAATTAGGATTTAATCAGGAGGCAATTATGAGGAACAAACGAGGTCGTGGGATTCAAACCACGCAAACGTTTACATTTTATTGCTCAACCATCAATTAATAATAATAAAAAAATAGAGATTATGCAAAGTTGTTCCTCAAAATTACATTCTGACTCGTCATTATTTAACTGTACGCAGTTCAATTGACCTCAAACGAGTCAAGTTTTCAGAGCTGCCTACTAAAGAACTAAAGGCCTCTGCATCCATCCGAACTGTCGAAATCAGTTCTTATTTGCGAGACGAAAACTGTGTCATTCTGTTCGCAGCTTCGATTCTTCCATCCCTTCTTGTCACAACCAGTCGAGAGAACTTTTCACCCTCAGCAGCATAAGAACTGACTGGGATTGGTCAGAAGTTCATGGGCGTGTTTGTTTCTGCTGAAAGCGCTCGGACACCACGTTATGCGTTAACTACTCGCTTCCAAAAAATAAAGAAAGAAATAAAAACTGTTTCCTTTCAGAAATGGACGATTGTATCCAGAGGTTAAAATCAGACGTTGTGAACGGAGGAATCCATCTGCAGAAAAGTGTGGACCTATTTGTGGATAAATAACATCAGATATGATTTTTTTCCTCTCTCTTAAGACTCCAGCTGGTAGAAACCCTGCGCAGCGACGTATCCTGCAGCAGACAGGGTTTCCCAGGAGCTCGGCGCAAAAGCGAACACCGAACAATCACATGACGGCGCGTCGACTGTTCAGATGGAGCATGTAGAGGCCGTAAAACTACTAATGCTAATCCTGCCTATGCTAACTCTACTATTTAACTCCACTGTAGCTGCTAGCTAGCCTATTGTTCCTATTAGCTAGCCAGCGTTTTGCCACTTTAAAAACAGCATCTCACTACTTTTAGCTTTTTAGCAAGCAGTTTTTTAGGCAGCACAGTGGAGTAGCGGTTAGCACTGTTGCCTCACAGCAAGAAGTCCTGGGTTCAAGTCCCGGTTTGGGCCTGGGGTCTTTCTGTGTGCATTCTCCTCTTCTCTGGGTACTCCGGTTTCCTCTCACAGTCCAAAAACATGTATGTTCAGGCTGAGTTTAGGTACTTTAAGATCACATTTTGCTACCTTTATTACTATTATTGTATAATAATTATACAATAATAATATTATTATTTGATCTATTTTTTGCCTTACGATTCTAAATGAGTGAAATAATTTGGTTGCATTGTAACGTAACTTGCAAAATAAAATAAAAATTACAAGAAAAACTGATTAAAATTGTGATTTACTGTAAAAAAGGTACAATATGATATGTAAAGCCCTGGTGCAGATGGACGTTTTCCCCCCAAACACACCTGTCTGAATTTGGCACGTGCTTCTTTTTCCTTCATCCTGCCATGGGCCACCAAGTAATCAAATACTTCTCCTGAAATAAAAGAAAAGAAGAGACGAGACGAGATTCAGTGTTGTAACTTAAAACTTGTTTTCCCTAAAACCAGAAAAACAGAAGACAATGATGAACCGAACAAGTCTTGAGTTAATTTTTTTTTATTTTTCTTCTCAGCTTTACAGTAAAAAGAATTAATCAACAATAAGTTATATTTTCCTTCATTTTGTTTTCACTCACACGTTAATAAACGTATGTTTTGCTGAGACCTTTAACTTCTTATATAACAAACAAGCTGCAGGGTCAATGATTTCACACAACTATGTGCTTACCTCCACTGGCGTACTCCATTACCAGGTACAAAGTCTTCTCTGTCTCTATCACCTCAAAGAGCTTGACTGCAGGCGGAGAGGGAAATAAAGAGGAAGAATGGGGGGAGGTGGAAGACAGGGACGAGAGAAAGTCAGTTTTGGATTGAGGTCGAGATAAACCCAACGACCATTTGAACAACTTTTTCTTTCCGACTCACCTATGTTGGGATGATTCAACATCTTCATGATTCTCACCTCCCGGAAGAGCTGCGAGAGAAAACAAGCCCAGAAACATCAAACCATCAGAGAGATGGTGCGTTTTTATGTTACATTTATTTCCTACATGTACGTTTGTATGAAACAAACTCAAATCATGTAACCCAGACTTCATGTTTTGGTTTTTACAAACATATTTTACATTTAGCCATGTGAGTCTGGTACGTGCTTTCAGCGTGCGAGTGTGCGTGGAAGTGGACAGACCCCACCCTGCCACCATCAAAGCACGTAATTGCAGCTTGTTTCCTGTAATTAAAACTCTCTCTGAAAAAACGGACCGTTTCAGATGGCGCGAGAGGCGCAGGGAGAAGAGGAGAAAGGAGAACGTGTGGGGCAGGAAGAGCGACTTTGGAGAAAAAGTGAGGGAGGAGGAGCGACTCTTCAGATTCTGGGCCCGTTTAGGAGTGAGAGCGAGTTAAAGAAACTAACCTTTTGCAAACTGGAAGAGTTGAGCTGTGTCTTATCTATGATCTTGACAGCCACCTGGAAGAGAAACAGGAACTGATTATTACATCCTCTTATTAATGTCATTTAAAGCACTGATGCATGGTGCTGACAGAAGCAGCTGGCGACGCACAAACAAACCCACAGTGGAGGCTTTTTTTGTGAACAAATCTCAGCTGCCACACCACTTTGTAGCTAAATATCTCTGAATTTTAACCTTTTTGTTTTTTTTCTAAGGTGAGATGGCAGTGACAGACATGTCAAATTGGCTTATTTTTTTCAAAATTTTGACTTTTGTTTTCTTTTTCAACAAACATCACATTGATCATCAACCCTGAGAAGCTGTACAGCATCTATCTGTAATTAAGACAGGACCTTCTATGCTTCCCTCTACGTTACACCTCCTATCCAGACACTTTCCGATCCAAATTTAGGTTATATTGTCCATTCTTCTTCTTCACATTCGACTATATACATTTTGTAGCACTGTAAAAGTACCTCTATACCCAAAATTATACAACAAAATCTGATCTCAATGGTGATAAAAAATCCAGCCAATTTTTCCAATACTTAATAAATTTGCCCGATTCTAATCTGATGGAAAATGTCAGCCTCTCCATCACATACTATGCATTATTTCAACCCAATCTTCCCTTTTAGGCACTTCCTCCACTTCCTGGTAATGGCTTTTTTGCTAGCTACATGATTCTATAGTATATATATATATATATATATATATATTCAAATAGGTTTTTAAAGGTTGATTAGTTGCAGAAGGACATTAAATTATTTCCTGAAAACGTCAGTAAAATCTGTCCAATAGTTAGCATTCTAAATATGTATCCGTCTCAGATAAAACTACACCAGAATCTAGGTCAATATGTGTAAAATAGACTGACTTATGGGCCTGTCATAATAAAGTTTGCTGGATGATATATTTTCTAAGAAACTATTGCGATAAACAATAATACTGTTTGACCATTTTAAAATATTAGGATAATTTAATTAAATATCAACCTAATTTTAATTTATCATTGATTTATTGTTTATGGCGACAACCCCACTGACTTGTACCCTTTTTGTGTTTTTAAGGTCAGAAAGCTGTGGCAGCCATCTTGAATCAGGCTAAGTTGAAATGCTAATCAGCTGTAGTTATTCCCGAGTTTCAGAAAAATCCATCCAGTGGGTCTTGACATATTTTGGTAACAGAAAACTACACCAAGAAGCACAGCAGACACGAGCAAAAACATTATTGTCTGCCAACACTTTTCTGATGTGGGCGCTAATAAATGAAACAGAACAAAAGAAGACGACAACATAAAGGCAGGGAAACAAAGAATTTATCTTTATGAGGACACAGAACAGAGAGATCTACTTTTTGTTGTCGACTAACTTTCTGTCATTCACCGCTCTTTCTGGTTGTGCCTGTCTGACTCTTCTCTGCCCTCTGACGCTCCCTTGTTTTTCTTTGTGTGAGCGGCGAGTCACGTGGCGCGTTATCAGAGTGTCAGGCACAGGGCTGTCACATATCGACAGAGCCCGCCCACTGTATTCCTCTCCTCGAGTCATAAAACCCACTCGACTGGGAGTCAGACAGAACCCGGCCGGAGCTCAGGGAAGACACGGCTCCTCCGTGAAACAGACAAATCACAGAGTTACAGCACACCGGAAACATTTAAGCTTTTTTTCTCTCTCTTAGGCTGACAGTGCTGATCTAATCTGCTGCAGTAGATGTAGAATCTAAACCTGTGCAAGCCTTAGATCAGATCAGACTTCTGTAGCTACCAGCAAACTAAACATTTAGAAGTTAGTCAAACAATAAGGATGATTTGTCTACATTTGACAAATAATAACATCCAAGCTTTTTTTTACTGAACTATACACAGGTTTGGCTGATTAAACAATCAGTAGCTCTTAAACACAACCACAACCTTGAAATGAACTATTTCTCATGAATTAAGTTTGGAGTCAAATATTCAGCAGGTATTGATAATATCTGGATCCATCTGTGCACCCTGACCTCAACGGTGAAAAAGTTGGGTGAAATGTTCCATGACTGTTCAGTCTGCAGTAGCTTGGATATTTATCTNGTATTATACACAGGTTATTGATAATTACATTTTTATGCTTTGTAAGCTCAAAAAATGATCATATTATACTCAAGATCGTATTATACATGAATAAATACGGTACTTGTGAAGTGTAAATGTATCTACTCAAGTTCACTTTATTTATTTATGCTGAATCCAAGCACTGCTGGATAGAAATCCTGAGCGGACTATTGAAATGGAATGCTTGTACTGGAGTACTAATATTGGAGTTGCAGGCCAATAAAATGCAATATTTGATTTTTTTATATCGGACATCCATAACAATATTATATATCGTGATGTATTGCAATTCTGTAAGTAAGGTGCTATATTACCTTTTGTC